TATGTTAAGTGAATAATTTTAACTTTAATCAAAAAATTGTTTTCTGCCAAGAAAAGACAATTATTGCGAAGCAATAATAGGGGTTGGTGAGCGGCAGCGAACAGGGGGCTAAGCCCCCTAGTATATATATATTCTTTCGCATTTATTTTGCCTTCGATTTTTTTAAAATCCAATCTCAACTTTATACATTATTTTAGCACCCAGATCAGCTTTATACATAATTTTAGCCCAAACAGATTATATCACACCACCTTGTGATATAATCTGTTTTGGCACTTTTAGTTTCGCCAGGCTCAAGGAAAAATACCTCCACCAACTTTTTTTTTATTTTTTTTATTTTTAAATAAAATAAAGAATTATGTAAAAAAATTTAAAAAAAAAAATAGTTGATTTTCTCTACTTTCGTCAAACCGAAAAGAACCTTTGTTTTAAACTAGTCTTTTATTTTTAACACATTAAATTGTGGGACAAAAAATTTGTATTCCTTTTCGGCATTATTTAAGTACTTGATGTTTTTAAAGAAAAACACCTCTCCATAAAACCTCATTATTTTAAATTATTATAGATTATATAACTATACTATTAGATTTTATAACTATTATTATTATAGATTTTATAACTATTTTCACATTTTAGAGCAAACAAGACACCATCCTTTCACAACAAACAAGCCATATTAAATTCAAAATAACTATTTTTTAGAAAAATCGAGTAATTTTTTAGAAAATCGAAATAACGAGAAATATATTAGAATTAAAATATATAATATAATTAACGAGATCAAATTAAGATAGTTTGAGCGCATATTCAACACCAAGCTTGAAGTTTATCAAGATAAATAAATTTGAATTTCTGTTTTATAATATCGAAAAAAACGCTATTCTTTACCTGCATTATTAATCAGAATATGAATGCGTTGTTCCGTTTGTAATATATTCTCTGCAAACTTCCGAATCGAAGCAAAAGAAGACAAATCTAGCTGCTCTACTTGAATTGCAGCTGAGGGCTCTTTTTCTTTGATGTCTTGAGCTGCTTCTTCACCTTTTCTTGTGTCACGACATGCAATAATCACTTTTGCACCTGAAATAATCAATGCTAGTTTTATTTACGCTTCAGGGGAAAAAAACTAATAGAAAAATGTGCTGGAAATGGATTACTTTTTGTAACTATATGTGTGTAGATATAGATTTTTTAATGTACATATTTGGTTCTTATGGTTTTCTTTGCGTACAGTTATGGCATAAGATTAAGGTGGCTTTATATAGTTGGAACACGCAGTATCTATACATAAATATATGTCTTAGGCTAGTTGGAAAATCCGGCTCTGCGCAAACTGCCACAGTTAATTATTACGCTTATTAGACGCAAAGCAAAGTGATGTCAGCAGTTTGCAAAAAAGTTGGATTTTCTAATTAGCTTACCCATATAATATTTGACTTCTTGCTATTATATGACTTGTCCTATGCTATTAAATGAAGGACGTTTATTAGTAACGCTTTTAAATATTAATTTTTTAATAATTTTACGAGCCAAATAATGAAAGGAAATTGATCTTTTGCGAGTTGTGTTTTGAGCCTGTTGGTTATAATTGTCAACAATCCATTACTTTGAAGTAGAATTATCGCAACAGGAAATATCGAGTTGATTAAAAGCTAGAATATTAAGGAATCGGGATAAACGGGATATTTAAAGTACATAAATATTTATTATACTTTTCGAAATACACTTACTAGTTAAAACAAACCAATGCTTTCGTAAGGAACGAACTTCTCATCATCAGATAACTTCATCAAAATAGCGAGCAAAAAGAACTCGTTTCGTTAATGCATTACGATAGAGGGTTCGTTTTTTCCCGAAACGTGCCAAATTTAAGATTTAAACTATTAAAATAACTCCATCATTATTTAAAATAACTCCATCATTATTTAAAATAACTCCATCATTACTTAAAATAATTCCATCATTATTTCAGAAATGTCCATCATTATTTCAAATAAGAGCTTATCAATAATTTTTTAATTATATTCGATTTTTAAGCGTCTTAGTCGGGAAAAGAAAAATTTCATAATGGCGGATGCTCCCATACCTTCCAACTTTTACGCTTTTTTAAAAAATGTTTTTCCTGTTGCAGTGAGATGACAACTAAATTTCTCTAAGTTTAAATCAAGCACAACGTGAATAAAGCACAGATAAATAATTCTGTTCTTTATTTGTGCTTTATTCACGTTACTTTTATCTACATAGCACAAAGGATATCCTAACCTCTTTTTGGATAAATTTGACTAATTTTATTACGCAAACACATCATTGCTTCATATTTTGGTATTTTATACCTATGTTTGAATTATTCCATGATGAATGTTCAAAATTAATTTAAATCGCATTAATTAAGGTAAAAATTAATATACAAACGCATATTGCTTTGCTACCATTATAAAAATTCTTCTTAAAAAGGTAGAAAAGTTTGCATTTAAAAAATATTGCAGAATAAAGGTATTCCAAAGTGAACATAAGCGAATTACGAATTGCAAAACTCGTTAAATACCATCCATGCCTTCTCTTTTTACCAGCAAAAAAAAACTAATTTTTTATTATTTTTTTTTTTTGCAACATTTACTTCCATTAGCAAAAAGAAAAGAAAAAAAGTACGGTTCGCACATGGTGAATCAGCACTCCTTTTTCATGAAATTCAAATTCATTTTCTGCTCATTTTTGTATTTTTTTTTTATTATACAGAAACCTAAAAAATATTTTTTCATTTTTTAAATCCAAACACCTACTTGATATAATAGATATTAATAAATATTTAAAAGACATAAACATACATTTAAATCATGAACTTATTATATCATACCTCTTTTTGCGAGATCCAAAGCTGTTTCCTTTCCTATGCCAGCATTACCACCAGTGATGATGACTATTTTATTTTGAAAAGAAGCGGTACTTTGGCATTTTTTACTGCTAAAAAAGTCCTTTAAATAAACCAGGATGCGGTTAGAGCCTGTGAAAAAAGATGTCATTTAAATTTATCATTCACGCAGCAAAAAATTGAACATAAGTACAAAGACACTAATTTTACCTCAAATTTAAAGTGCAAAGTATTTGGATGCGAATACATAAACCAACTTGAAATATCCACTTAGAGAATACTATAGTTCTCTTTTTTAATATCTATGTTACCTGCAAAGTAAGAAATTCGGCATTGTATGGATTGCCTAAAATTAGCCGGCAAAATATGAAATGATTTATATTTCACCCATTTCCTAGGCTTTCTATAGATAGCCAAATGAGAAAACCGGCAAAGTATAAAACACATCTTCCATTCGTTTCAAATGTCACTTGGCAAGGCTCGTGACTTTCAACGCGTGGCTCGTGATTTTTAACTAATAAGAAAAATTATTTTTTTTACTGTGCGACATGGAAATGGAGGAATTTAATGAAATTTACATGGAAAAATTTAATGATATGTAATTTAAAATGCCATTCAAGCCTGCCATGTTGCAACAAGTAAGTTAATTTCATATTTTTTAAATGAAAATTTTGTATCCCTTAATAAGAAAGGCTTAAATTTTGTTTTGCATAACTTTTTAATTTTCTTTCCACATTTTGAATCAATGTTTTTCAATGGCACTCTCAGTATTTTTTTCAGAATAACATTTTTATTTTTGAGAAATGCATGTTACTGTGAATGACCGAAATCGGTAGTTTTACATTTATTCGATATTTTATTACTTACTGACGATAGATTAGAAGAAACATCAGTGTAGGGTATACCGGGCAAATGTATACCGGGCTATGGCACTTANAACTCGATAGATTAGAAGAAACATCAGTGTAGGGTATACCGGGCAAATGTATACCGGGCTATAACACTTAACTAGAACTAGTATGACTGGACCTTTTGTAAATGTCCGAAATATATACTAGGTCTAGTTAAGTGCCATTGCCCGGTATACATTTGCCCTTTATACCCTACACTGATGATTTTTTATAGTTCAGTGCAACTGCCCGGTATACATTTGCCCGATACTCCAAACACTGATGTTTATTCTAATCTATCGTCAGTATGTATTAAAATATCGAATAAATGTAATTATATCCACGGATAAATTAATATAAAATTGGATGTAATAAATATTTCGGACATTCACCAAAGCGACTATGTGATTGTCAACATTCACCGGTGAAAGTCAACAACCACCGATTTCCCTCATTCACAGTAACATGCACATTATTTACATAATAACTTCATCAGGACGTTTATTTCATTCTTTGCCTAGTATATGTTGTATAGAATGCCCAGGCATTCTATACAATGCCTAGGCAAAGTATGTAATACTTCTCACATTTCATAGTTTGCCTAAAAACGTCAGGCATGCTATACAATGCCTAGTGATTCTATACAATGCCGGCGTTTCATACTTTGCCGGTAACATCTATATTGACAAAAAAGTGCACGGGAGCTAATAAAGATCGTTCATTTAATTTTATAATGCATAATATTTGACTGAGAATGCATAAGCAAACGTTGAACATCCACTTAGAGAATACTATAGCTAGTTATAGTTCTTTCTTCTATCATCAATTAGCTGAATACCCGTTCTTCCCACCTGGTAAATAAAAAAATAACCAAAGAATCAATAAATCAGTACTGAGAAACATTACGAAATCATGCTCTGAACTGAAAAGCATATTCTGACAAAATTAAGCAGCTTCATGGAAGAACCGCGGGTAATTGAAATTTTTTGGAGTATTAATGAATCAGAGAAGATAAACAAAACAAAACAAAACAAAAAAATGGTTGCATCAATATGGGTATGTTTGGGTATGGTTATGTATGGTTGCATCAATATGGGTATTTTTGGGTATGGTTATGTATGGTTGCCTCAATATGGGTAACAGATCCTGTTTTTGTCTTCACTTTAATCTTAAAGTAAGTTATCATATCAGTTTTTAGTATGCTTGTTAGATTTTAATTTCAATTAGGCAGTGGTAAATAAAATAGAGCAAGGAATTATTTGTGCCGTAATAAATCTAATAAATTGATAATAAAATAGTTCAGATATAATTTTCTTTCTTTCTGAAAATGTTATTTACCTGGTTCTTCCACTAAGTTTTTCAAGTAATGTAGTCGAAATAATTGAACTTTTTTTTTATTTAATATTATTTGCTGCCCGAATTAATGATTTTGCTTAATTGCAGTAAGCGAAGCTCGTTGTTCGTAATTCATATCATTGCAATAAAGATAAAATGTATTTAGCATCAATTGGCATGATGCTACTGCTTGCGGCCAACTCATAATAGTCAAAATTTACCACTATCAAGTAATTTTCTTCAGTACATGCCCCTTTCTAGGGGCCGTAATATGCTAATTTCTGAAGTATCAGTATTAAAACTGCTTAGTATTGGCGTAGTTTTAATAATCACCAAATATATCAATATAGTATTTTATGCATATATTAGGTACTTATTACATTAACTTTTCAAAATTTGAGTTTTGTGAAAAATACATTTGTCAGTGACAGCCAACTAATGCCGAAATTTTTTGAAAAAATAGAATTCTTATTAGTACTTGATAAGGATTTTGGAGCATGACCGTTTCTCTATCTGAATAGTCATCTGATCACTCGAAAAAGTCAGATATTTAAAATTCGATTTCTCAGGAACTATTCAGCCTATTTTGCTCAAATTTTGTATTTTGTCTTGCAAAATTATATTCTTGAAAATTATGCAAAAAATTGTATACCTTACAATTCGAAATTTTTTCGACTATTATTAAATAAAATAATAAAAAAAAATATAAATATTTATCAAAAGCTATTTTTTGCTTGGCATTATCTTTAGACAAACGAATTTTATAATTGCGTGCAAAAGTTTCCTAATTCGCTTAGAAAACTCTTGAGATACAGCGAAATACGCAAAAACTAACATTAACATTAAGTGTTCCAAACTGTGGAGCAATCTCCTGACCAAACTATAGAATCCATGCTTTCTAGACTGCGGCTACCCCCTTTATTTTGGGGGTCAGAAATCCGAATCCGTCAACAAAAGGTATGTTTATTCAGAGAAAGTATTTTTTTGCGTCTGAGTTTGTAACTTTAAATATCGTCTGCACTAATTAATTAGCATATTTGAAGTCACCCCCTAAAACGTGAAGATCCGATCATTAGATCAAAAGTTATTCAAAGTGGTCTTTTTTTTTTTTTGCTCACTTAACATGTTATCATCGGTAGCAGTAGTACACAATAATTAAGCGTCATCTGTGAACGGCGATTTTCTACGGCTTCCCTAAAAGAATTTCTTCTTTCTCCTTTGACCTAGTTTTTTAGCACATAGCTTATTTTATTTTATTTCAATTTATACATATTATCAATATTAATAAAGCATTAATGTCAATAATAATATGGCGATTTTTATGGCTCTCTTAAATGAAGAAGTATCTTCTCTCCATTATTTTTGCTTTTTAGTACATAAATCTTTTCATATTAATTAACATATTACCAATATTATTTAAGTATCATTATCGTCAATGGTAGCATTACGATTTCTTACTGTTCTTTTGTTTTCTAGTGCAGAACATTTTTTTTTTAATTTCAAAATGAATATATTACCTAAATTAATTAAGGATCGATAATAATAAGGTCAATAATAATATAGTGATTTTTTACGTTTCTCCTTAACGAATTAGTACCACACTAACATTAATTTTGTCTTTAAACTTATAAATATATTTTTCTATTCAATTACCATTTATTTTAAATAAATAATGTTTTAGAAACCAGTTTTAAGAAAATTATTATCGATTTTAAAAAAAAGCTCATGGTATCATACAACTTTAAAAGTATAAATTTGGCGACTTAGACTACGCGTGCTATCACGTAATGTTGTTTATTGAATTGGTGGCGGGGCGGGGATGCCAAGACAAGGATGCCGTCTCTTGTAACCCCAAATAGTTGGAATTTGGTTGTTGATCTTATAGCAATAGCGTGCTCGTAGCACTAATGATAAGAAAATCTTAATTACAGTTCATATGTTAATTTATTCATTTGTTATCAAACGAACCAGTATAGAAATCAAATCAATTGGTATCAATCAATTGGGTATAATATAGCCTACGTCACAGGTTGTGTTGTTCCTACTAAATTTAACCCATGAACGGCATTTTCTGCGAGCCCAACTTCAAGCCACAAATAAACAAACGAAGTGTTCGATCGTTTAAATAGCTGCTCGCCAGATTTTATTGCATTATAAAGAAAAGTTATTGAAACTAAATACAACTAAATAAACAACAACAACTAAAACAAATAACAACAACTACTAATAACAATAACTAAATAAACAACAACTAAATTCCATTCGTTTAGCATTGCGTCATATGTTGTTCCTACTAAATCGAAGTAGTTGTGTTTTTTTCATATTATACCCAATTGATATTAAATAGCGATATAAAAAATGAAATATTTAAATACGTGCAATAAACTATTTTTTGATCAAATAGAGCTATAAGCTAGTAATAATCTCTGATATTATCTTTAAAGTAAGTAATAAATTGAATCATCTATAGTTAAATTTAAGACAATGGCAAACGCTTAACCAATCGTAAAATTCCTTTTCGGTTTTCGTTCATCCTACTCGAATGGTTCGTCGTAGAATGTTTTAATGTCGACAGTGACCTTCCTCATGCTTCAAACTATCTGTATGCCAAGTTTCATCAATTTCGGCTGAATGATTTAGGAGTCCATATAGAACACACACATCCACATTCATTTATATATAGATAGATAATGATGAAAAAGGACACGGGAGCAGAAATGGATAGCTCATATTAATTTAATAAAGCGAAGTATCTGGATGAGAACATCTAAGCAAATTTTAAATATCTACTTTGAGCTACTACTACAGCTAACTATAGATGTTTTTTTATCATCATTATTGACGAAAAAGAATACGGGAGCAGAGATAGATTGTTCATATTAATTTCATAAAGCAAAGTATTTGTAT